TCTATGGTTCGTTGACACAAAGGAATACTAAATTTGTTCCATTCCTTTTTAATGTCAATTTTCAGGATGACCAAATATCTATAACAAAGGATGCAGTTGACTTTGGATGCCGTTAAATATATTTTTATCAATTGAATGGAACCAAAAAGTTGTGCTGCAAAATTCAGTGACATTTGGTCTATTGAAAACGTTCGGAGTATATTCAAAGAGAAACTATGAGGACGTGAATACAGTCATGTTGATCAATTGAAAGGCGACATAAAAAAGGAAATGGAACAAATTTAGTATTCCTTTGTGTCAACGAACCATAGATAAAATATCAGACCGATTAATATTACGTATCAATCAAGGTAGTAATCAAATACAGGAGCAATGATAACTTTGGATTTGTTTTCTTTTATCTTTAAAAACTATGTTGTTTTTAAAATAATAACCAAGATGACCAGGAAAGTTTAACCCATTCAACCCGATTCAGTTTTCTTAGAAAATTTTTTCGAGATGTTCAGTTTCATGGACAGTTAACTTTTAATAAATACACTTAATGACCTTTTTGTTATCTTCTACCGGTTATTTATCGTTCTCTTCTTTATATCACTACATAATGAGTCGTTTTTTTCTGCCGAACTGAATAATCGCTCGGATTACTTTTTCATTCTTTTCCATATTATACAAAGTATGNTTGACCTCAATCAAAGTTTGAACAAGTAACGTGATTTTCCATTTAACAGACTTTTTTTTTATAGAAAAGACTTTTGATTTTTAGTTGTTAAAAAATCAAAAGACATTAAAATGACATTAGACTACAGAACTAAGAAACAAAAAAACGATACTAACTAAGACTTTAAAAATAGTTTGAATTTTGAAGAAAAAGAAATGTTTTAGTATTGAAGTAGAAAGCTTTTGGATTAAATTAGTTCCTTTTTAGTGATGAGAAAACATTTTCAGAATGTTTTTTGTATTTCTACCGAGTACAATCAAGCTTCAAGAGATTTGAAATGCACAATGTTAATATTACTTTCTTCACTTCAGATTATTTTTCGTTATGTTGAATAGTCATTGATAAATTAATTATATCGAAGACATACAAGCGTCTAATGTTCGAATCTCGCTATTTTACTAAACAAATACTCCTCGAAGGCATAAGCATGATTTGATCAGAAAGTCAAGTTTCATTGAATTGTAACTACTAAAACGTATTTTCATTCCATTTCTAATCATTGAATCAAGAAAACTATCTCTCGAAGGAATAGAAGCATCATTACATTGTATTTTGTTGAATGTATTTATTAGAGGATTAAATATTATTCACAAACATTATCTTGATCGAACAAAGACGTGATATAATTGAAAATATTGGATAATAATTAACCTTCTCTACAACACAATAAAATATTTACAATCTAAGAAATAGCTGTAACAGTTGATAATCAATGTTACTAAGGCCATTTTACAAAATCAGTACAACTGTAGAAAATTGATGATTATCTAGTATGTAAGTCTTCCTTTTAATCACATCCACACCCTTCTCTGCGACTTTAATGCTAAAAAAATTAATATTTTAATTTTTTTTTTTTTTTTATGAAAATATTTTCAAATTTGATTTTCTGATGTCAACGTAGACGAACTCATTCATGTGTGCATTTGATCATATGATTTGGTAGGCCAGATCGAGGCCTGACAATGGTACATAATGTGTGTATTACATTGTTATTGTGAGACAAAAATCTATTCAGATTATTAAAAACTTTTTGACTGGATTCATGAATTTAGAAAATTAATAAACAAGACTCTCGACAATGTCCTGTGTTCTCTACAGAGAAATGTACTGTTGGAAATTCAGGTTTTGCAGATTAAACTCTGCAAGCTACGAAATCAGAGATATTCGATGATACACGATAGATCGTAGTTCATGTTTGATAGTTTATATGAGGACAGATACTTAAGAAATATTCTAAAGTATGAATTGAACTTCATCGATTGAATACAAGTCGATATGATAAGAAGGCAATTTCAAATCGTGCAAGTTTAGATCAATAGTTAATCTTGATAAAAATAATAGGATAAATAAACACACTTCTGCTTTCACATAATTTTTATCTAATCAAATGGTTAGAGACAGAGAGAGCTACTCGAAAGTGCAGTTGATGTTGAATGAAGCGCAACAAAAATGATTGAAATCATACATTTGATATACTTGTAAGAACGAGCGAAATTATAGAAGTAACTTTGCTCGTCTTATTTTGAAAAAAATATGCCATTTACATTAGATGTGTACTTATTTATCCCATTCGATTATTCTAGCGTTTGAAAAGGAAAATTTTAAGTACCTCAGTGTCGAATAGTAGCCTCATGATTAGAACCAAGTTTTACTATTGTCTAGAAGAATTCGATCATTTTTGCGAGTAAAATATGATTTTGGTGACAGGTAATACATGTTGTAACTTGTGGAAGATAGGTGAAAAAAAGATATTCGATTTTATTTTCATTCGTCGTTACAGTTATATCACATGTGTGATTGTCTCATGTTAGATACGCTTCATTCAACCTCTACTACTTTTTTCTGTAGCTCACACCCTGTCTTACCATGTAATTGCATAAAAGGTATATCAAGGCAAAAAATTATTATTTGTCTCATTTCTTTTACCAATATCGATCTAAAAGTGTACAATTTGAAACTGTCTTCTTATTATATCGATTTGTATTCAATTGAAAAGATACATTTCATAAGCAGGTATTCATTGTTGCGATATTCTCTAAACAGTCGATTGTTGTTTTATTAAAATAAAATGCGTCTGAATTATGAAGATAGGAGCTAATGAACATGGGTTGGAAAATGAAAAATTATGAATAAGATTTCATATTCATTAAAAATCACGGAAGTTTAATCAGTATCACATTTGTAGGGTGTGGATACCTGAGGGTTTCCCCTTGAAGTTATGCTTCCGCAAATAATATTCGACTTTCGCTGAAACTTTCGATGACCAACGATGTTGGCTTCCAGCCAGTTTAAAAAAAGTTACTCCAAAACACTGAACTTTTGTGAAGTGACAGCGCTGTGCAGGATTTTTTGTAAGAAAGAACTGATACAAAGAATGGCGATGCATTAGGATTTATTTTGACTAACTTCATTTTTTCTCACAGAAGAATATAAAAATGAACCGATTTTGTTTCGCTTGAGTTGACAAATCTAAGCCTATATAAACATAGAACTGACTCATAGTGCAATGAATAGAACACAACTTGAACTGCATATTGGTGACAAAATATTAAATAAATAATGTTTTGTTAAGTCAAGAATGAATGAACAAGAGCACTTTGACAATCGAAATCGATACATTTTTGACTATTAGTCGATATTGAAAAGTTTATTTCACAAAAAATAAAAATGAAGGCATTGCCAAAATTTTAGTGCGAGCATAATACGTGACGAGCTACAAGAAAATATCTAATTTGTTTGAGAAAAAGTATCGCCACATGATCAGAGTTTGAGACCCTTTTCTTTGAACATGAAAAAATTTGCTACGCTTCTACTGATATTTGTTGATTTTCGTAAGATTAGTTAAAAAATAATGACATATTTGGGATTTGCATTGAAAGCTGATTCGATCTATACATGCTTCCAAACAATTTGAAAAACATATTGGTCGAACCGACTTTAAATGATAATCCCATATATTTCATTATCTTTTACATTGGAAAAGTAATTAATCTCATGGAAACTAGCAAATACCAATAAAAGAACCGCCACGTTTACCAATCCGAACATGTGGTCATAGTTTTTTTCAATCAAATAATATATGTACTTCTTACTTGTCATATATTATGCTAGCACTGAAATTTTAACAATATGTTCGTTTTTATTTTTTGAGATATTAGACTCTCAAGATCGACTAGTGACCAAAAATGCAGCTCACATTATACTCTGTTCATTGCACTATGAGCTAGTTCATTGACTTGTGACTAACTCTCAACAGAAGCATCGGCTATCTTAGCTCACAATCATCAGAAGTCTTTTGCTGATGATGGTCAAGTTTATAAGGGGCATAAAGACTCCTAATTTACGACTACGCATCATCATTCATACAGGCTTAAATTTGTCAATTGAAGCTGAGAAATCGCGTACTTTTTATGTTTCTCCCTGTGAAAGACTGAAGTGGGCCGAAACTAAGTCCTATGTATCTTCATCCTTTCATTGAAACCTCAATATGTCTACTTTCAAAACTTATGGTGATTTGAGTCCTACAATACAAACATTTCTACTTTTCAAGTTGATCTGAACTATGTGGCTTTGTACTCTCAGTCTTCAAAATTTTTTCAATAGGATCTCTGCATACCTATACAGCAAATGTTTTCATCATCATTCAAAGTGATTTTTCCTATCGAAAGAGTGAAATTTCTACGCAAATGGACTTTAGTAACGTTTCCCAAACTATTATTTCTCCTAACTATTGTATAAAACGTTCTTCAGGATTGTTTCATTGCTACTATTCTTAAGATAAGTTCAAGAACTTTGCAGAATTCTAGCACCCAACTCTATCTTAGATCAAATTATAAGTGCTTCATTTAAAAAGCACACTATGTGTTATATACAATCCCAAGTTTCTCATTCTAATACCTTTCACTATAAAAAAAATCAAATTAGTAAAAATGTACAAGACTGTAAGTGATGTTACTTTTCTGTAAATTTTCAACTATTTTTCGATAGTTTCATAAAAATAGCATATATGAATATTAGAGTCCCGTGTTAGACGTGCATTGAAGAGGTGCACTTTTCTCAAAATGTTGAAAGCTGGTTAATCGACGTCAAATGAAATAGAAAATAAGCTGAGAGCCAAGCTTTTTGGTTTTCGATAAATCCCTTCTTTCTCATAAACCCTGGTTAATTCTCCGACTCTGTCTATTCAATAGCAATAGTAGGAATTGTTCCTCTCGATTTATATTTAATTGACATTTTTATGTTGCATAACTTTAGCGTTGAATCCTTACCAAATATAGTGTCAATGGCAGAAATTGATCAAAAATCAAAGCAACAACAATTAGTTGCCTTCATTGATTCTCAATCATTAGAAGACTTTCTCGAACTTTATCGTGCATCATTAGGCATTCTGAAAGAATACGATCATGTTGAACTTCTTTTACGTGCCTCTCGTTATGGCCTGTTATCATTTGTACGAAATATATTAAATGATGGTTCTGCATTTGTTAATGCAAACTGTCGTCATCCATCGACTAAAATTTTACCTCTTGTCGTCGCTATTCGTGCTCAAAAGCATGATGTTATTAATTATCTAATCCAAGAGGCTAAGACTGACATAAATTGGAGCTGTGAGAAGAAAAATATAACATGTCTTCATGAGGCTATACGTCAACGTGATCTATCGACAACAAAACTTCTACTACAATATGGAGCCATTGTTGATAAACGTCACTTACAAATAGCTATAATTGAGTTTCTTAGTCCAAAAGATACAGTAATGCATTTTCTATAACTATTTTCTCATTAATCACATAATTTATCAATTTTTTTTGTAGGAAACATCTCCTATAGCATTGTTCGATCTGCTTGTTGCTCACCAGCCTGATTTACTTGACGATACTGGTCGAAAAGTAGCAGTTGAATTCATCATTCGTCGAACTCGTGGGTTATCACCTTGTCCATATCCTCATCTTGCTCCTTTGCTAGAACGACTAGTATCGATTGAAAACTGTACATCAATTATAGATCTACCGATGTCATCTACAATTGAACCAATGAAAGCAACATCTTCAAACATGCATCGAACACAAGTGACTATAATCGGTGCTGGACCTGCTGGTTTGGTGCTTGGTGCGCTCTTATCTCGATCAGGTATCGATTCAATTGTGCTTGAACGCCATTCTCGCTCATATGTTGAATCGAATCTTCGAGCTGGATTGTTAGAACAAGCAACAATAGATGTTCTAGACGAAATAGGAACCGGCGAGAGATTATTTCAGGAAGGTTTTATTCAGCGCAATATGAATCTACAATTTGAAGGTGAACGCATAACTTTTCCTGTAAGAGAATTGACGCAAGGCAAAGTAGCAACGATATATGGACAGCAATTGGTCCTTCAAGATCTTATAAATCTACGAATTAAAAGTGGTCGACGACTCTGGTTTGATATTGAATCTGTAGAAATAGAACGACACGATGTTGCAGGTTTCTTTTTCTTAAAATAAAATCATGACAAAAATCTGACCTATCACAATATTTTAGATGATGGTTCTGGTCCATTGCTTCGTTTTATTCGGTGTGGAGGTTCGAACGAAGAATTTATATTATGTGATTTTATAGCAGGATGCGATGGTGTATTAAGTCCATGTTGTCGTTGTTCTGTTCCTTCTGACATTCTTCATACTATAGAACGAGTCTATCCTTTTGCCTGGCTTAGTATTCTTGTTCAAGCTCCACCAAGTTATAACGAAATTATTTATAGTACTAGTACCGAATATGGATTTGCCCTACACAGCCTCCGTTCTCCAACGCAGACACGTTTCCATTTACAAGTTCCTCTCAGCGACACATTAGCTGATTGGTCTGATGAACGGATCTGGAATGAATTGAGGCTGCGTCTAAAATCTAATAATCTTTCGTGGACATTAAACGAAGGTCCAATCGTACAACGAGCCTTGTTTCCCGTACGTGCTGTTGTTACAACACCAATGCAATACAAACGTCTTTTCTTTGCTGGTGATGCTGTTCACATTCTACCACCAACGGGTGGCAAAGGTCTGAATACAGCTGTGAAAGATGTCCAAATATTGACGGATGCATTCGAGGACTATTATGATAATGATCAATTCGATAAACTTAATAATTATACAAATAGTTGTTTACCACATATATGGCAAGCACAAGAATTTGGAATCTACATGACATCTCTGTTACACAAAATTGATATTTCGCAAGACTGTGATGTTGATGATAGGAATTCAATGGAATTTAATAAACAACTTCAAAAAGTACAGCAACAATCATTGAAACATTCAAAAGCACTTCAACAGCATGTAGCTGAAATGTATGTGTGACACAGTAATGAAATTTAGAACTAAATTAAGTTTTGTTTACTAATTTGTGATTGATAGCAACAACAATCGCAATATTTAACATTAAAAGGAGGCTTGTTAGCTGTCATTCATTATCTATAGCTTGTTCACATTCATTCAAAGCTCACTTTCCTATAGTTTTGCATTCAAGAATATCGCCAGTCTAGTTCATATCATGTTTAGTGTTGCAAAATACACATCCCTCTATCGGACTGCTTGTCTATACTAAGCGTATCCTATTTTGCATTTCCGTACCAAGGTAGCAACAAGTGGGATGGACTGAGGATGTCTATAATTAATAGTGGATTATTGAATAGTGATATATGATG